ACACATTCAGTTGCCATCTAAACAATGGTGACGAGAGTGTTGCTTGGTGATGTACAACGTTTCACACTACCGCTGCTTGGCACATCCCCTGTCCCCCTCTCTTTATCTGACACACTGTCTACCGGTGCTTTTATGTTTGTGACATCCTTCGCAATTGCTTGTGTAACTGCATGCACCTTATGGTCGTCAACGTGATCTTCCAAGTTATGTATTGTTTCATTCATTTTCCTAACCATCTTGTTCAGCCGTGCGATTTCAGCGTCTTTCATCGCTACAACACTTACGAACCCAATAAATAAATTTGCAGCCTATGCATAACCATCCTCTCCATTGACTTAACCCTACCATCCAACTCACGCACACATTCAGACTTTTCTCTAACTTCACTTTCCAACTCTTGAATTCTATGCAAAGCACTATTGAGTTACTCGGTGGCTTCATTTGTGTTATTATGGATGGCGTCATCAGTAGGTGTGCTTGACAGGTCTAGTCGATCGGGTAACAATACCGACCACATTTCCCTTGCAATTAATATCTTATCGAACTCCTTATTGCAACCACGCTGTCCATTTTGATTATCATCTGCATTACTAACCAGCTTGAATTCAACGTCCCTTCCATATGGAGAATCAGGCTTCCAATAGTCAAAACTTGGTTCCATATCATTCCCTACTTTAAAACCATTCCATGAACTCACCGGCTCAACCTCGAAGACTACTGTCTCATCTTTCTTTGCTGTAACTCTAACTGGACTCGAATTAACAAAATAACGTTCCACGATTGTAGCACCAAGTTTACCACAATTCACCTCCAAACAATCACATCCATTACAATATAATTCACAAAATACATACTGACTCATTGCTATATGCTAGTGACCATACCTCGATGGAGCCGTTAGCCGATAAATAGATGCTTTTCAACTTCTCTATTAGATTGTCGATGTTTTATCTGCAAAATCATGGAGACATGTTATGGTGTTCTAGCTCCACTACTGTTGTGTGTTCACAAATGAGGAACTACAAGCACACAAAAACCATACAAACAATTATGCAAATATTCATTAAACGGCTCGCGTTACATATAAAACAGTTTAATATTCGTGTGTCTAAGGGCTGTACCAGCAAAGCAACAACACAACCAGTAACCTTTTCTGGCTTCTTATCCAACTCATTCAAGAACCATCCAATGCATAATGGATTGCAGTTACCCAGTCGTACACCCGTAATGTCTCAAGCCTGTCAGTTACGCGCCCAAACGCCCAACCAATCGACTTACCCATATTAACAAAAAATAGTTTGGCACATATATAGAAACACAGCAACTTTGCAACATCTTCCTCATCGCGTTCAGCTGTGCCACATATTGCTTCTACTAGTAAATCCTTAATCAATTTTGATGATATCCGTCCAACGTTCAAACACCGACGCTATATAAAATCAGATGGTGCCTTCACCCCGTGTGACAGATCAAGCGTCTCTTTCCCACATTGAATCCCAAAGATTAACTGGATGTTGCTATTTTGTAAAGGCAGCCTACTTCCACCAATGTAAAACTTCTCGTTTGCTGGGTTGTATAATTGAATTAAACGGTACACCGTCGCATCGCATTTTTTGAATGCATTCTGATTCAAATTGTGGACGCGAATCGCCTATACCATAAGCCAAAATGGCTTATTTTGCGATTGTCAGATATGTCTCGCAGTAAACTTCAATTCTTGGACAGTGTTAATCACACTAGCCACGTTGGACCGATACATTAGCTTTGATGTGTCAACTTCCGTTTGCTTTACATTCCCTATGCCCATTTTTTTTATATCTTGAACGGTAGCTGTGTCTGTCTTCTTGTCACCTTTCTCGTTGACGTTTGGACAACCAATAGCGAACGTGGTGTTCGCCTACCACATTTTCGACCTGATCCATCCCCTCCGGCATTACTTGTCATAATAAGCACAATAGCATTCTTACATGGGATTCACAAAATAATAAACAAAACCACATGGAAATTACTGAAATATACTTAACTACTTATGGTGTAGACGTTAATCGGTAAAGTATGGTCGTTTAATGTACCTACCATTTCCCACCATGGACATATTTGTGTCTAAGTAAATCATGCATAGTCAACTCAGATATTTGAAACACATAAGTATTTGGTGGTTATGTCAAATGATCACACAACTGTCATTATCGTTAACCCAACAGGCCTGATAATATTTGCTTGCAATACAAACACTTCCACCACCACATGAACATACAATACCCAGCCATATACACAACACATTCCCCACACCACACTAACAAATACCACATAACAACATCACCTTTATGTTCACATTACACAATACAAGTCAATTAAACTACATAGCAAACTATCCCATTAAATGAATCGCGTATTCTCTCCACCAACACCCAATATCATCATAACAAATTGTGTAACTAGTTGCAAAACAATTATCTTATGTATTTCCACACATCCTTTTATGTCACGCCTACCGTAATGGAACATCATTACAAACCTCTGCACGCCTATTCACATTTTCAAACCGTTTACCCTTGAATTACCACCCAATTACAATTTCATAATTACCTCTCCAACTACTTGCATTAGACGCAGTGTGTCCTTCCAACATTAGCCACACGTACAAGACAACACAATCATAACATAACATCGACACACTTCGACAAACACCACCAACAAATAAACGACATTGCCATCTATAACCCACAAACCACACCTCCACAAAAAAACAACATTGCGAGTGAGCATACATTTGTAAAATCACGTACAATTTACCAAACATAACATACCAACGTAAGGTATAAACTTAAACAAAAAAAAAAAAAAATATGGTCGATTAATGTACCCAACATTTCCCAGCATGGACATGTGTGTGTTTAAGTAAAACTTGCACATTTGCTTCATAGTGATTTAATCAATTCCGTATTTGGTTGCCACGACAAATGTTCGCAAAATTATACTTAACCTTTGCCCCAGCGCACCCGACAATGTGCGATTATAACAAAAAAACATTCGCAACGCAACGTTAAAATTCACTAAGCAGCAGTATAAACAACAATTTCCCACACTACACATGCAAATAACACCAACACAACACCCCCATTACGTTCACATTACAAAAACTAAACTAATTACCCAACAACATTATCACACTTAATCCTAGTACTCACAAAACAATTACATTACGTTATCCACCTTACACTTTGGGGTAACGACTACCTTAATGGAACAGTAAGGTAGTACATCTGTAGGCCTACTCATATTTTCAAACCCTTGACCCCCCGAATTACCACAGAATTACAGTTTCATCATACCCGCTCCAATCACTTACATCGTATATGACTGAAACCATGTCAACATTACCCTCCCAAACGCTACCAAACCCATAACATAACATTAACCGACCCCGACAACCCCCTCCTAAAAAAATAAAATAAAAAATTACATGCCATTGCCACCCACAACCCAAAAAACAGAACCCTACAAATAACAACTTTACGAGTAACCGAATCAAATGTTAAACAAGAACTTCTGCGCATATGTTTTTAACCTTAATATCGTCACATTGACAACTTTATATCACAACGTCTGTCCACACACACCCAGCCGTATACAACACAACACGTACACCTACATGGTCAACTCCCTATAACCCTACCTTGTACCCAAATCATACTTGAATCAAACATTTACATACACCTAACATTTTCCATGTTCGCATAATTATGCACAACTACCCAAACAACATCAGCACAATTTCTCATGCCTACACTCAGTAACATCCTAACACCGCAAAATCGCATTACTCACACACAAATATAATATATAAAACAACTACATTATTTGTCCATCTCAGAAAATAACATTAACCTTAAGCTCATTTTTACCTAGCAACTATTGTTGTCATAGCACATAAACACATCCAAATTGCATTTTAC